CAGTGACAGGCAGGACTTGAATATGAATATAGAAACCAGTACTTTTCATTGATTCAAATTCTATAGTGGGTACTCCACTTTAGAGAAGTGATAGGGTAAAAGAAGAAGGGCGAATTCATTTTAAATGAAGTCAGCTGAGGTAGAGACTTCCCAGAATGCAAATGACAGTCACTACAGGCGCTGGTGATTAGTGTTAAACATCTGGCTGGTGGTTTTCCAAATGTGAAGAGGTTCTTTTTTCAGATACATAAGATGTATACAGCATTTTTACAACTCAGTGAAATTGTCCTATGACTTCTGTGATGCTTATAATCAAAAATAATGTGTTAAAACTCTGTCTTAGAGGTGATGTTTGTTATTCTGTAAAAAAAATTCAAAGCAGTTTTTTGTGACAGTTTTTAGGCAAAGTTTTAGGGCACCAATCTTTGTTGCATTTTAAATAATGGTCACTGAGAGGCAGGCAAAAACTACCTTTGTAACAGCATTGAACAATACACTCAAAGACTCTAAAAATGTATTTTAAAACAGGAATATGCAAGCTGAACATGTTGTTCTTTTTACTGTGAATTACTTTTTGAGGGCAGTATCAGTAGCTCTTTAAATACATTCTTTAATTTATCTCTCTTGTTTTTCTATAGTTACATTTTTCCTAACCACAGAACCTTGAAGTGAAAAGAAATAACATACACCTGAATAAAAATGACTTTAAACCGAGGTATGGATTTAAAGATTGAAATTCAGCCAACTTGTATACTTAAATATAGGTTTTGTTTAGTCTCTTCCTGATTTCGCCTTCAGTAAACCTTCAATTATCTGAGACATTAATCTAGTTGCTGACTGGTCGTCAGTTCCTGCAGAGTGTTTAGCATTCATGCTTCAAGCTTTGTGTCCTAACTCTTTTCAAAAGGGCTCTACTAGTTTGACATCTAGAAAATTGCAAAGGACAACTATGCAAAGTAACTGTCCCGATCCTTAAGCAGGCTGACATGATGAGTGCTGGAAAATCCACTTGAGGCTGGCCATCAAGGGATACACCTGTTTAGCAGCCACATTTCTGTATGCATAGCACTCGAATGAGGCTTCTTTGCAATAAAGCACATACGAAGATTATTACACCACCATCAGCAGCAGCTTGTAACTCTCAAAGGAGACAGAACAGATCCATGATTCAAGCTGTTTACGCTGAATCCTGATTCTGTCATCATGTAGCACCAGAGATCATATGCAAAGCTTCCTACTGTTTGGTCAACCAGTAGGAACCCAATATGGCTCAGGCTGAATTAGCCATCCCAGTCAAAGGCATGAAAAGCTTTCAGATACAACTTTTTTTCTGAGATGCTCTTTCATGCCCTTCCTGACAGCTTAAATAAGTCAGGTTATTCCCTCTGACCTGCCTCACTGTCAGAGTGTTTTCTCTTTCATACCTGGTGCTAACAGTTTGTCCGTTCTCTGTGGTCTCCAGACACTGTATGTGAGTACACGCTGTGCCCTTTCCGGACTGCAGGATTTATATTCAGACACTGCAGCCCACAGCCTCGCCAAAGTTCACAAGCTTGTGTCAACTCTGCAGCTTTGCTAAACTAATATTGAGAGAAGTATTTTACCCATTTTTTGGCTCCTCGTTGTTGGGTTGCTGTACTGCAGTTTTAGCCAGAGGCAAAGTGCTGTTTCTTTTCTAGAGTACAGCTTAGAATATGCGTGTTTTGCATTTGAGGGTGATGTATTTATGAAGGATTTTATGTAGGGAACATTTCGGTTTTCGGGTTGGACAAAAATGTTTCTCTGTTATTTTTCAACAAATTATTCGCATTGGAGCGTTGCAGCGCGAAGAGTGTTTTATTTAGTCCAAAAGCCTGAAAGCTGTCAGCGCTTTTAGAGAATTAAATCCATTAAATCCATAAAACTTGCTTGGCCTTAACCATGACTCAGCCTTCTGCCTTCCTTCTGTACTTCCCTTTGGCTCCATTACACTATCACACCAACACACTACTGACATGAGACAAGCCTGTTTCTTGTCTTTTTTCCTTTTGCTGTAAAGTGAGTCATCAGTCTTATTATATACAATAATATCATTCATTTCAATTAATTCAACCCACCAACACAATGGAATTCAGTTCAACACTCAGACACTCTTAACACTTTGTTTTCTGTCTGTTTATACCACTTTCTCTCAAATACAAATGAACACATACTGCTGTAAACTGAAACAAACCTATAGATTCAATCAGACTCACAGCTGCCTCTGTCCCTCCTCTTTCCCACCTTTACACCTCCAGTCTGAGTGAGATCGCACCAAACATTGCTACATTACATAAACCAAAGAAAAGCTGTAGGATCCAAACAAAAAAGGGTTGTTGCATCTTCCCACATGGCACAGCGAGGACAGAAGTCATGACTGACTTCGAGAAGTTAGCTAAGATGCCAAACCCTCCCACACACACAGTGCACCGGCTCACAGATTTATCCCCCTGTTATAAAAGTGTGTATCTGATCTAAAAATATCTGGGGCAATGAATGGAAATGGAAAATGTGGGTGGTGCCTTGTATTTCCCTCAGCTGCCTTCCAGAAATGTTATTACTGTATACGTTTTTGGCAACTACTGACCAATTTTAGGGCCACGTGTGTTTACATTAAGGGATTATGCTCATTACCTTTAAAAGGTTTTTTCAAGTAAGAAGGCTGCACCCATGTTTGTTTATGCAGATTTCTCAGATTGGTATCATCAGGGTCTGACAACATTAAAAGACCCTACAGAGAAATAAATGTTTTTCTTTACATTTCATATGACCTGGTCGGTTTGAAAATGCGTCATGTGACTAGTTGCCGGATAAAATGGAGCAATCAACAATGAGAGTTGGAGACAGGAGTGCATTGGTTGTCACAGCTTGTTTTGCTTGAGTACAGAAAGACGAGCTCTGTGTTTTCTAAAGGATTTTCAATTTCATGACATCATTTCAACAATGTTGATGCGACACAATATTTCAGAAAAAATACTTCTCCAAGCGAGCCTTGGTTGGACACAAAACAAAAAAACAGGATCAAGTATAAGTTAAATAAAAATGTTCTGAGCTTGTCAGTGGCAAAAACAAGTATTTCTAGTGGATGTATATTGAGTGTGGAAAAAGACAACACTGCAGCCTCTTTGGCGTCTGACAGCTGCAAGGCTCTCACTCAATACTGGACACATTTCACACTGACACAAAACATGGGAAAATAGGGAACAAATATACACCATTTCTCTTTTTATCCGACACCTCAACATTTACATATATCCCCCTCAAACCTAAATGTGTACAAATCAGTTTTTGGCTTGTATGGAATGCATATATTTAATTGCTGCATGAATGAGGAAAAAGTTAAAAGCCCCAGACTTGTCATGGTTCTTCAGGCCACTGTGTGAGCATGTCTACATCCCACCTTCTGCGCGGCAAGACATGAGAAAGCACTTCCCTACTTCGACAACAACAATGCTTTTGCACACTTTGTACATCCATCAACAATACCGACTTTATTTAACTATTACTTTCAGATAGTGTGTCTTAGCATGTTTTGACACTACACCTGAGGGGAGTATTTTGTCAAGCTTGATGTTGCCATGGTGATTAAGGCCCAAACAAAGGACTATAGAAACGTAATGGTCATAGTGGCAGAAATGTGACAAAATATAATGTATAAATCACACACATCATCTCACTGTAACCACTGTACATTCTACAAACTCAAACCAGCACCTGCACAGAATAAATAAAAAACCCTGTGAAGAAATGTGATGTAGGTGGGAATGGAGGGCTTTTTTGTACACACTAGGCTTCTTTATAACTTCTATATAACAGCCATGCATGGCTATATAATAATATAGCTCCATGAACAACAATCACTGAAGGAGCAGCAGCCTCCTGCATGGGCCTTGCAATCATTCATTTTTTTCTTTACCGGCACTTTCTCCTCCCTGTCTGCCTGGCAAGGATGCTCTGCAGCATCCTTTTCAGCTTGTGAATCAACCTCCCTCCTACTCCTCCTCCCCTCCTCCTCTATACAGACAAGAACAAAATAGAACTCCCCCTCCCTCCACTAGTGCCAGTCTGGCCAATAATAATATAGCTCCATGAACAACCCTGTTTCTCTTGGGTTCTCAATGAATTATTCACAGTTGTATCCAAACATTCTCCCCGTGTTCTTTATTGAGCAATGTTCGCTGCAGTCAGCTCCAAAGATGCATCCAGAAAAAGGGCTGCAATGGGCGGCAGAGGCTGCTATAAATACCTCCAACCCCCCCCCCCCCCCCCCCCCCCCCCCCCACCTCTAACCGTCCACATCCCTCCCTCATTCTCCCTCCTTCTTCGTGAAAAGCACATCAGCTAGGACAGTACTGCAGGGTCCCACGGCTGGCTTGCTGTGCACTTTTTTTGTTATATATGCAAGGGAGGGACACCAGTTATGTCATCGCTCCCACACCATTCGTGCCTGCCAGCTGATGCAACGGGAGGCTGCTATTCCTTGACTTCCTTTGGGTTGTTTATATCACATGTGTGTAGGCTACTGCAGCCTATGCAGCGTGCTGAAGCCGTATAGCGGGAAGAAGCCAACACTGCACGCACATGCCAGCTTCACCCAACGTGCACACGCACCCACGGGGGTTTATGTTGATGAACACTGGGTGACTAATGGAATAACTGCGATTCCTTGCTGTTATAAGGCCCTAAAAACAAAAAGTCACTGAGGATGAGAGAGAACCAGAAGCTTTTGTTTTGTGAGAGAAAAAAAATTCGAAACCAGAAGCTAACTTTCAACAGAGAACATCACGTTACCAAACGAAGCGCAGCAGCTGAACTTTTTCTGTCCCCTTCATAAATCCATACATAACATCATTTTGATACACGCATCATGTAGGTGAATTTGGGGGAAACCAGAATCCAAGATGTTACATTGTCTTACAAAGAAAGTCGTTATTGGTTGTTTACTGCCTTAAAATGAAAGAAAATATTTTTGATCGACCCACCTTACACATCTGAAAGTTTTCTGACACAAGGGTCTCCTGGATGTCGATTTCCTTAGGAGTTGGCGCCGCGGTGGGGGTCCCGGCCGCGCTGCCGGACGATGGGGATCCCATAGTGCCTCCCGGAGAGGAGGTGGTCAAGCCGTCCAACACCTTCCGGAACTTCTTCATTTTCTATTTGTTGTATATTAGGTGTAGAGAGAAATTAGGCTTTCTTTGATTTCCCAGAGTCTCCTCTCAGATGCAAAACTCGTTTGGGCAGCCGGAGAAAGAAAACGTCGCTTCCTGCAGCAGTAGCAGAATAAAAAGAACCACTCTGTGTTGTTTCTCTCTCTTACGTGCAATTTAGAAAGTCATAGAGGCACCTCATCTTGTTTGCTGGCTGTTGTCCACACACACACAGACAAAGATTGCGTCTGAGCCACTCTGATCTGAGGGGTTTTGGAGCCAATGTTGCAGATGCAGGTCGCTTATCTCATATTCCGACGGAGCCGAAACTACTCAACTTCCTCTTCCTTCTGCATCCTAAAGTAACATCCACTCCCGGGCTCGGAGAGAAACCCCACTCCTTAACACAAACCGGGGAGCCGAGCATGAGCAGAAGCGATCAGAGGAACTTCGAGCAGGTCGATCCACTTCTCCCCTCGCCAAAAAAAAGAAAGCACTTTGGTTGCCAGTAACAGGGAGGGAAGGAGGGGGAAAACACTGGAGACGCAGAGGCAATGCAGTTAAACGCGGTTGGACTCCACAGTCAGGCCGGGAAACGAGTCCATCGAGGAGAGGAAGAGGGGACAAAAACAAGATGCTGTGCGATGGCAGTGATAACTGGAGGTCAATCTATGGATTGATTTGATTTTTTTTTTCCTTCATCCAGCTGTGCATTATCGTCGCTTCCCTGCAGTCCAGAGGCAGGAGACTGGAGCTGTCCGCGGTGCTGAGAAACCAGTCAGCCCCTCCTCCCACCACCCCCCTTCTCTCTCATTCACTCTCTCTCTCTCTCTACATCCCTCACCAGCGATTGGTGCACGCTCTTAATCAAAGATGCAGAATGATTAAGGAAAATAAGCTGGGAAACGCTTCACCTATTCACCCTACAACAAAATCATCCACACAAGTTTTTGTAACTGCTTCCATCTGCAGCTGGTAATTTCCTGTCAGTTTGCTCGGAAGTCTCCATCAATAGGATCAGTGGAGTGGGAGAATTAGATATTGTCCATTGTTTTCAGTACCAGCCAAAACCAAAAAAAAAAAAACTCCTTAAAAAAGAAAGACTGTTTCTCTTCACTGGATTTTTTATATTTAATTGTAAACACTCATAGCTTTGCAAATCACTGAATTCATACGTACTGTAGCTGTTAAACCCTCAGGACACAGTTAGAGGAGAGACTGTGGGTTGCTTGAAGGACCAGTCTCCAAACCTCTTCAGCTTTGGAACAGCTGTTCTAAAAGCACCCACTTGATTTAAAGGGGACCTATCATGCAAAATGCACTTTTGTACGTCTTTTATACATGAATATGTGTCCCCGGTGTTCCAGGGAACTCACCAAGTGTCAGAAAACACAACCCTCTCTATTTTCCTCCATACCCAAATCTCTAAAAACGGGGCTGCAACGGATCTGATCAAAACTGATCCAGATTTGAACACGTTACTGACGTCAGGACGGTGGCGTTACGGCTATTGGGCCAACTCTCCACCTATCAGGGGAATGTGGGGTTGGGCCACGGCCGGCCATTGCCGCTCGAAAGCGCTGGAGACGCTGTAGTACATATGCCAGGCCTGTAAGTGGCGCTGTAGTCTGCCACAAAAGCAGCGAAGAAGACTTCCCGCGCATGGTTGCCATGGTTGCCCTTCTATTTATTCTCCGCTCTGGCTTTTTTTCTCCCTCCCCGAGGCAAGCGTTTGCTCCCGCTGCTTTAATTCAATGCAATCCCTCCCCGTCGAGGCAAGCACTGTAATTCTCTCCGGTTAGTCCACCAGCAGATGACAAACACCCACCTCTCTGCCTCTTCCAAGGAACGAGGGGACCGTGCGGCAGCGTTTCAGTTAGGTTTTTTTTCGCCGGTCAAAATGTCCGTTAAAGTTTAAATCTTCCGAACAAAATTAGAAAAGTGCTGGTCAAAGGTCTTCTTTGTTATTTATTGAGCTTTAAAACAAATGAATAACGACTCTATATAATAATATAATAAAACACGGAGGACGGAGATCTCCCCCCTCTTCTGACAGCCCAGCAGCTGTTCAGAGCACGCTCCCCTCTCCTGGGGGGCGTGGTCAGCTGCAGCTCACAGAATCAGCCCCCTGCAAAAACAGTGCTGGAAAGAGCAAATGGAGCGAAATGAGGCATGGCTAAAATGCAGGATCTGTTTGGTATTTTGAAAAAAAAACTATATTTATATACTTTATATAGGTATGGCCCTACAATATATTGTTCAAATATAGCATGATAGGTGTCCTTTAAAACACATCTATTGTCCGTAATGTTTATATACAATATGTTGCTGTTTCAATTAGAAAAACTAAAGAATCCTTTATTGGATTTAACACATTTTCTTATTTTAAAATGTGAAAACCCGGCACCCAGCACTCCCCTTAACCTCATAAACAAGCACTTTAGTCTGGCTAAGAGAAAGTGTGGTTATGGTTTACTCCCATGGTGTCAGCAAATAATTACAATGCAATCAAGGAATATGAAATACAGAACTTGTGTTTTTTTGGTTATTTTGGTTTATTTGCTGCTGTACTCCAGGCAATATAATGTGATTAAGTATCTATTTTTGTCTTTGAGTGATATTGGAAAATCATTGCGTAATATGTTGCCATACATTGAAGAACATACAGTAGTTACTTTGACCTCAATTCACCTTTTTATACAAAGCATGGTGAGAAGAAGATGCTATGTCAAGAAGGGAATAAAAAGAGGAGTTTTTTCAAAACCATCATAAAACTGCTTGTGCTTCAATTAACTATACTACCTGCTTCCATGTTTTAAGGTTGGGTGATGCTCCAATAGTTACCCACAGGTTATATGGAACTCAGCCATTTAACACTTGTGTTTGAAAAAGAGAATAGTGGTGGTTTTGAAAACGTCCTGCTAATAATGCTGGCTTCAGGCATTTCATTTCCTTAGCTCTTCACCATTTACTAATGGACATGCAAAACCATGTTTTAGTCCATCAATCATCAAGAAAATATACTTTGCAATGCCACAAACCATTGTCCAAAGCTTATGGTAAGTGTTTAGATTGATTTCCTATCTGTTCCAAGCATCTATTGGTTTCTATGCATTTTTGAACATTTTGCATTCACCAAGATGACAAGAATCTTAATAGTACCATTTTTGTATTTAATTATTGTCAAAGATGATTATTTTTCTACGGGTATTGCTAGGTTTTAAAAACACATTTAACATTTGGTACCAGCTAAGATTGATGCACAATTGTGTCAGGATATCAAAACATGAAAACCGAAACAAACATGGATGTTTTGAAACAACATAAATGTGCCATTTGAAAATGCAACCCAATCAAGTCTCAGATATCAAAGCGTCTACCAACACCAGGACTTACATTAACAGAGCATCATGCTGCAATACAGATACAAATGAAAGAGATTCAATGTAATTAAAAAAGCCAGCTATGCTCTTATACCAACAAGTACAGAGTTGCCAGTGAAAATATTTTACAATCCAACATCACAGTAGACAAAAGAAAATAGCATTATAATCCTAAACCATCACTAGCTCCTTTGAATGGTCACGACCGGTGATATTGCATAAGCACTTACATCACCAGCCTCGGCCCTCTGGCCATACTGGATGTTATGGAGTCAGAGCACAGCACACATGGCGGTGTGTCCTTTTCTCCGATCTGAGATAAAAAGATTATAATACAACACTACTATTTCACTAATGCTGACAGGACTGCACACTCTGCAAGATGTCATAGCACTAGCCAAGCAGCATGCTGGCTTCAAGATGCCTACAAGTTTGGATTCTCTACACTTGTGTCTTCCTCTTCATCTTTCTTCATTTATCTTGTTTTCCTACCTTTCAAACCCTTTTGAAAAATGCTAAGAATAATAGGCATTTGATAGTATATTTGCTTCAAAAGGATCCCCCACAAGAATTCTTAAGGAGTACCACCAGGAAGTGACATGGGACCCCTATACAAGTAAAAATGGCATAGCAACTTCAAGGCAGAGTGGGGGGTTGCTTTAATCTTTTTTGCTAAAACATGGCAAATTTGATTAATTTTCCATTTTCAAGCATGTCGGGGCTCCATTGAGACTAAATTATGCAACTTTTCAAACACAATTATCAAACTCTACAGAGGTTCTCTTTGCTCAGCTCTAAACTGTGGTAATTTCAGTGTGATGGACATAAAAGCAATACTACATTTTAAAACTCAGCGAGCAGATCATAATGCTGCGTTCACACCGGACGCGATGCGATGTTTGGGGGCGGCGCGATTACATGTAAAGTCAATGCAGAGACGCGGACAGACGCGAATTCGCTCCGACGGCGCGCATGAAGCGGTGGACGCGGCGCGAATCACGCGATTGAGGCGATTGAACGGTGCCGCGTTAAACGCGAGAGTTCAATTTTTTCAACTCGAGCGTCAATTCACGTGACGCGTTCTCGCGGAAGCCAATCAGCGGTGAGGATCTCAGCCGCCGTCACTGACGTTCAACCACACAACATCAGCCGTTAGCTGTTAGCAGTTAGCACACAGAGCTCACAGCTCCTCATATCTGTTCAGAAACTGGACAAAAGTCCAAACCACAGACTGTCTGTGCCATGGCGAATACAGTCGCTGCTTTATTTATGTCTGTAGGCCGTTGTTATGAGTGTGGAATGAGCATATACAACGTTAGCTTAGCCTGGTCGACCCGATCTTCATTCAGAAAACAAGCATTTTAAAAGGTGTTTTGCCTGCCGTCTTGTCTGCAGACTTGTCAAAGCATTAATTCATGGTTGTTACTAACCGGTATCAGTATGTTGTTACTTCGGCATCATTTAGAAACGTGTATTACAATTTAATCACGGTAAAATATGTTCATTTGTTGTAGTTGTAGCTCCCAAGCCAGCGCGTCTTGTTTAAATGATGCGAGTAAACACAGCTGACAGCCGCGGTGAAACTCCAGCGTTTAGAGCAGGGCTCTCCAACACGTCGATCGCGAGCTACCGGTAGCTCGCGGGCAGCTTTTCAGTAGCTCGCCGCTCGATTATCGATGATAGCGTATGGTTGCTTATTGATTTTTCGGCCGCGGGTGGACAATAAAGTTTTTTTATTTTAGAATTTTTTCTGTCACACGAATATCAAATGGTCGGTGACGCAGAGATCAAGGAACAGACGTGACAGCACCACAGCGACAACACACACGGAGCAGTCTGCTTTCTCCACCAGCACCAGTCCAGAACCAACAGCAGAATGACCCGCTCTGAATCAGGCCCTGTCGCTGCGGCTCAGAGACACACAGGGAGGGATTTGTGTTTTTTGAAAAACACTCGTTATCGTCATGTCAAGTTTTTGGTGGATGTAATCAAGTCTTGGATTGCAGAGTATGAATGTCCTCTTGCTATTTTCAGTTGATAAATACTTGTGTAAAGTTTGTGAAGGCAGGAGGAAAGCTTCCGCGATCACCGTCTCCTCTGTTCCTCCAAACCCCGCCCCCTCCCTGAAAATAATGAGTGAGAGGCTGATAGTGACCCGATAGAAACTTTATTATTCACTTAATCACTGATTGAGATATGATGAAGCTAACTTAATCTCATACATTCATGGGATTTATGTAACAGTAAGACAGAGAATGTAAGTGTGCACCCACATGCACTATTTTTTTTTTTTTTTTAAATACTCCTGTTGTCTGCTGTGTTCAGACTCAAGTCCTGTGTGTGATGCCACATTCAAGACATTCAGTGTCTTTTTTTTTTAACAGAAGA